GTTGACACCTCCTCGTGAATCAATGTGCCGTCTTCATATGTAAATGGACGTACCAAACAGTGTTTTCATTGCATCTTCAAAGTTCCTTAAATATATCTGAGCTTGTTCACGAGACAATGCCTCAAACGACGTCCCTGGCGGGGATAATATTTTTTCGTAGAATGCCTAATGAGCACCTCCGAGTCTGCATAAATAAATTGGATGTTATAATCGGATTCGTTGCCAGCGATTTCAAACAAGACCAACAAATATATAGCTTACCTTTTAAATATTTGCCGTTTGAATGAAACGACATCAGCGATGGTCATGGAGCTCGGGCCCGTGAAATCGCTAGAGCGAATCCGATATTCGACACTCTTGTCTGTTGTCAAATTCCGCGGGGAAAAATGAAGCCGGTCATATATTCAAAGGCACAAGCAAAGCCATAAATTCCAAGCCAGGAGACACTGTTTTTTGCAACGAATTGGAATAAAGTAGTTCTTCGTGAAAGAGGTATGAAGACGGAGTCGAGGCGGTAGTCGGAATCAGAAACAAGGAAGAATGTGCTTTGATGTGGTCCGCTTTTCACTGGTAAAATAAATAATATCTTCGTCAGATCAGAGTTACGAGTATGAGAGAGAACCAGCCGAGTATGATGACGGCTTAAGAAATCTACGACACCTTTTCGGGCCATTCACTCCACTGCTGTATAGCTATTATGGAGATCCTGGTCTATCAACACAATCATATAAAAACACTTATAAAGTTTCGCTACTCTCTTTGGGTTTCAAATGCACCCCTCCTGGAATTCTTCAAGTATGCAAAATATCCTATCTAATTTATAAGCCTTGCCGTCCGTCCCGAATAATATTCTCGTTGGGCGGTGCTGCAATGTCGCGGCGTGTACAAGAGTGCAGATATTTTCCAGAGATATGGTAATGCGACGCCTAATTGAGGTGAAAAGTGGTGATATCGCGTGAATTATTTCGCAATCGATGATGCTCCCCACCCTCGAGCGTTCGAAAGTGATCTTTCAAGGCGGTTACACGTCTTTCATGAGGTCCCTTGTGAGCTCGCCGATGCGAGGATAATGGAGGTAATTGAAACGTTAATTGATGGATGGCTGATGAAACTCACAAAGGTATAATAAAACGCGTCCGACCAAACATGTCTCCTGATCCACTGCTTCCCGTCTCGTATATTTCATATCGCTCCTAGCTAACCTTCCTTCACCGCTTTAACCTGATCGAACCCCAGTTCACCTCACCGATTCCGTCTGATTTCTCATCAACTTCGTCGTGCTCCTATAATCCCAAACATAGCTTGGGTTAATATTTGATGTTCCGTCGTGCACGAGAGACCGGAGGATTAACGTGAAGAGGAAGTTGTTGGATAGTGTGTATGGTTCAAGGTTCTGAGGATGTGAGAGGAGAGGGTCAGGAAGTCTGGTATGTTGAGAGCGGTATTGTAGAGAGAACGAAGGGTCCAGCCAGAATTGACATATGAGCGCGAGCGCATTGAAGGCGGCTGCTATCGCTGCAAAGGACGATATCGTTCCCTTCTCGTTTTATCCTTCTACACGGCCGCCAAGGTCGTTAACGTGGCATCGAAGGGCGTATAGTATATAGTGGTGCCGAAGAAGATCTCTGTCGCAGTGTCGCACCGGTGAGATGGAGAGAGTAAATTTGGGGTTATGGTGGCCAGTATGAGTGTATATATGGAGGAAGGATGCCACGGGAAATCGCGTGCGCAGACGTGTTCGAAGAACGAGGATCTCCGAAGTCGATGAGGACACGTAGGATGGTGGACGCGATTGCCCAATTAGATATGCTTTAGAAGCCATGCTAACCATGGACGATGGGTCTTGAATATTTGATTTCCGGATCTGTTGTGCGGTGACGATGGTGGCGTTGCTCGGCGCCTCCGCTCTGCAGTCTTCAAATCAGCGTTTGCTCTCCGGTATCGGTGCTTGAAGCACCGGCAAAGGAACTTGCGTGACATCCTGTCGCGGCATAGTACAGCTTCCGGTGGCCATGTGATCTGGCTCTTTTCCATCATGTGAGCCCACCTCAATTGTTTCATAATTTTATATACTTAGACCTATATTAAACCAGCGATTCGAGTAGTCCCAAGTAACCTCTACAAGAGTTGCAACGACAAGCCACTCTCAATGTCCGACGAGGTCAAAACTCTTATCGAGTCCGGTCTATCCGATGTATCCGATGTATCCGCTCTATCCAAATACTTAGGTGCGATCTCAGTAGCTTTTCCTTTGTACCAATCACTAATGCTTGAATTCTCCGTAGCCACTAGCGTCTACGCGATGTACGTGGATACATCAGGAAACTTGGTAAAAACTGGCGCCTAATGGCTCGGTAAGGAATTTTGATTATTCCTATGGAACGACACAGGGATATCCCTTTTTTTTTTTTTGAGAACCCTGGTTTATATAATCTATAATCCTCTCATGACAAACACCTGGGGCCGCCTATACAGTCTGCATCAAGATATTGCCCATATAAATTTTGCTATGGAAATGTACATAAACTATAATCAGCTATAGATGACTATGCTAGCAATTATAGTTTATGTACATTTCCATAGCAGAATTTGCACGGGCAATATCTCGATACAGACTGTATAGGCGGCCCCAGGTGTTTGTCATGAGAGGATTATAGATTATATAAACCGGGTTCTCAAAAAAAAAAGGGATATCCCTGTGTTGTTCCATAGGAATAACCAAAATCCCTTACCGAGCCATTAGGTGCCGGTTTTTACCAAGTTTCCTGATGTAATCTCCTCTGTCCGAGAGTCGAACATCCCATCTCACCATGATCTGCTCTCTATCAATCTAGTCTGGTTGCCGTTACGATTGCACAGGGAACCTTCTATTATCGAAACTGCGACGGAGATTCGAAGTTCATAAAGTATTTCGTAAGTTCTCGTCGATTGATTGGCATCCTAATTAGATTCACGTCCTGGTTTAGGTTCTCTCCATTGTGTAAGGAGCCTTTCTCCTTCTACTACTCCATGGCGTTCTCACATACAGTGCCTATACAGCACATTAAGCATAGTGCAGGCAGGCGATCTGTTTTACAACACATATTTCCAACTCATTACGTGCCGATTACCTCATAATTATAAAAATTCCAACACCGGGATCCTCATGTCGGTAACATCACATCTCTTTGTTACGTTTTATTCTTAATCATATATCTGTTACTAGGAGTATTGCTGTAAGGAGTTCTTTATTTAACTCCGTAAAAAATCGATTAATATGATCCATCATGGTTGGTCCAGCCTTCGAGCATTATACACGTGAGTGGTCTCTTGATTTCCAAATACTACAAGAAGCGACATCTGACTGTCTGCATTTAAGTATGGCTTGACATTTCTGACGCAATGGTAGGACTCGGAAGAGCAATTTCAAGATTGTCTCTCAATGCACTGATATTTTGGTTAAAGCTTCTATGCCCTTCGAGTATGTTTCGGTAAGTCGCATGGAAGAATTGGTTTGGACCTCTCTTATCTCTACGATATTATTCAGTCAGCGGTCACAAAACCTGGCTCGCTGGAATTATGGTAAGTATTTCCCTTCGTCCTTAATCTTCCTTCACAAATTTATTATCTGCGACTAGATTGTTCTGTCAATCCTCCAATTAGGTTCGATCATCTTTTTAGTACCCGCGTTGTATGAAGAATTAATGGCGAAATTCTTAGGCACTGGTATCGGTCAGTATAATTTAGATGCAATTCCTGCATCATTATCAGGTCTTTTGCTAAAACCACATTTTACGCTAGCTGCAACCGCATACATGTGAGTATTTGGCTCTTTTGGCTCTGATCCTGTAAGGAAAAATACTCAGATTTCCGCGGTCATAATAGCATAATCACGGGGTCGATATCAAGTGTTTATGCTAGGGAAACGCTTGTAGGCACTCTTTCACGTTCAGAAGAACGATTCTTATACTTCCTTCATTAGATCACTCAGGGTGTCGCTTCCGCATCCACAATTATATGCGATGCTCTGATCTCGGGCTCATTGGTGTATTTTCTTCGTGAAAAGCCCTTCCATCGTTCGTAAGTTGTAAAATGTACAGGCTACGCTGTCACTTTAATCACTTTATCATAGAATGCGAATTGGTATCGGCAAAATAACCATTTACTCCATTAACATCGGCCTGGTAACTGTGTAAGTCCTAATCCTTATATCGGTAAATTGGGAGATATATAATAGCCGTTATAGGGCTGTAGCTACTATCTCTTTAATAACTGTAGGTTGCGATTTTGTGAAATTTTGCCGGTATCGTATTGATAAATTATTTAGTGGCTCGCTGCACCTCATTCCCAGTTTACTTGGGAAATTTTCTATTATCCAGCTACTCAAGGTAAGTCGACCGATTGCTGCTGGGATGCCCTTCCACTGACATCATTTAAAGTCTACGTGAATTCAGTACTCGTGTCGTAAGAACGACAATAATTTAACGTTCAAGATTAGCTTCTGATTGCAGCTACGTTTAAAGGTTGAATGCTCGGAAAGAGATCCGCGCCCAAATGATTAAAAACTACTCTCGCCCTCATTCTTCCATGTTCCTGTCATTTAACGTTGACGGTAAGTCATTTACCCCACGATTCCCCCCAAAAATTAATGCCGTTATTCAATCCGATTTATGAAATTAGAGATATCATAAATATAGTGAACCCGTCACTGAGCAGCCTCTCAGCACCCATAATACAGAATAATCCACATAATTGTGAATCAGTGATATTCTTCTCTTCATATGATTTATATGTACTTATACCCATTAGTTATCCATCTTGAATATCCACAGTGATTATACAAGACTCATGATTGACTCTCTCTAAGTCCCCCCGTCATATGAAAACCTAGATTTTATCGATTGTCCTCTTGACGGCTGGAGTTCTCGAATTTCACAAGAATACAGCCCGCAAAGCTGTTTTGATTCAGTCTTCAGATCTTTAGGCTTTCATGGTAAGATTGATGCAAAGAAAGAACCAAATGGTCCATACAAGGGTCGAACCTGTGACTTTGGCATTATTTGTATCACACTCTAACCAACTGAGCTAATAGACAATTAGTACTGATTACCTTTCCCTCTTAGCCGATACTCTCTATCGAAATTTTTTGATTTATTACATTATTTAAGCTTTAACTGTCGATCGTGATGCGGCACCTAAGTAAAGACTGATTTGAAATGATATCGCCCTAGACCGTTGGAAAAGTCGTCTCTCAAGTAAGTTACACACTTTCCATGAAGTTCGTCGTGAGGTCACTGGTGCGAGGATTGAGTTAATTGAGACATTAATTGAGATAGATGGCTGATGGAACTCACCAAGGAAGAATAAACACCGTCTCGCTAAATGTGTCTTCTGATCCTCTACTTTCCATCTCGGATATTTTCATCGTGTCCTTCCTTTCCGTTGCCTCGTTAATCCTGATTGCCCCTCGCTAACCCATGACCACCCACTCATAGAGGCCCCAAGGTGTATGAATAGTGGTGAGATGTATGTTGTCTGGGATGTACTTGGATCTGGAAGAAGGAATTGATCATATCCAGGTTCCTGAGAATCTTGCCTCTCCCACATGCTGATAAGATGTCACTGCCGTGAGGCAATGGAAAGCTATCACATACTGTGTCCTCATTTAGTTGCAGAAGTCATTAGCCCATGGTGGAAGAAAATTATAGTCAGGTACTCTGTGAGGTCCAGATATCCAGGTGTCAACTCAGACTCCAGATATAATAGAACAAGTAATTTGGAGTCCAAAATAAGATAAACAGAAGGGACTTGGCTTCAACTTATATGTTGTCCCATTAGTCATATGTGACATCCCTGTTTCAGAATGCAATGGAGATGAACAGAGGTTCAGGGTCTGAGGATTGTCACAGACAAACTGATATAAAAAACTTGGAGACCAAGTATAGTAGAATAAGAAGAGACAGAGAGATGGAGGCCAGATTGAGTTAACAGAATAACAAAGTTGATTTCTGACTACTGAATCAAGATACATGTGTGGTTATTTATACTAAAATGGAGGCTGGAAAATATAAGGAATAATAGTCAAGGTCACAGAGATGAAAACAGATAAATAAATAGAGTAATGAATGTGGTTGGCTGATGATAATGCAAAGTGGAGGCTGATGAGAACATAACATAAAAAGCATGTGGAACATAATCATGTATGTCATAAGCAGCGCTTGGCGTCAATGAGAAGAATAAGTGTGATAAGAAAACAGAGACTGAAAGGTAAAGAATGACTAAGTGGATTTATAAGGAATGATGGAGTCCAAAGTAATAGAAAGTATAAGTGAGCCAATGAAATAATAAGAGAAGATACATGAGTGAATGAAACCAAAGATGAATAATGAATATAACAGAAACAGAGTCCAAAGGAAAATCAAATCAAATCAAATCAAACAAAATCAGGATCAGGTCATGATACACTTAGAAGGATGGCAATGAGCGTTCAGAGGATGATGAGTATATGCAGCTGGCAGCGAGGTGTTCATCCAGCAGGATTTTCCAAGAGTTGTGGAACTTCTTGAGTGAGTGGTATTGTTCCAGGCTGATCCAAATGTTAAGTTCCAAACTGTGACCAAAGTGACATATAGGCAAAACTAAAGAAGGTGAGGTTGGGACAGAGGGGACTAGGCTTCAACATGCATGGGTTGCATCCTCTTGAACTGTACAGGTCCTTAATTTGGAAGAGTTAGGACAACAATATCAGAGTGAAATGGGCACTGAATCTCCAAATGAAGTATGACTTCAGGAATAGGATCAAAGGTTTGCAGGAGCATTCAGAAATGATCCTAGGTGCTTCATAAATTGTTCAGAGGCTTTCAGAGGTTCAGAAGTGTATAGAGCAAAGAGCACAATGCTCAAGTGTAGGGTTCAATATCCAAACTAGAGAACTAGCTAAAAATACAGGCCTCTAGATACTACAAGGCAGTAGTCTGAAAAGGAAGAGGTTGTTACAGATAAGGTAACTACTTCAAAGTCTGGAGCAAAGCAAGACATAAATAATACACAAGGTGCATACATATGTGTATATCATTGAATAGTGAGGGTTTGGAAGGAATGGTAAACAACATACAAACAGGGTCAAGTCATCACAAAAGATAAATTGAATAATAAAAAGCTATTTGCATCGGGTGGACCTGATGGCATTGTTTGCATTGATGAGGTGCTACATGCATGCTGCTTCCTCACAGATATGCATGTCATGTTCTTCAAACTTGAAGGCCCAAGTCTGGATGTCACTAGTCATGAGTACAGGTTCCCCAGCAAAGCTGCCCTGAGGTTGCCATTGACACTGGCCTCAGATTGGTTTTTCAGCACACTAGAGGTGAGGGCATTGGCTGGTGATGATGTCATTAATATGGTGTTCATGTTTCCATGTCATTCTTCCCATTTATAAAGGGATGACTGCCCTGTTTGGTGGAGAGGCTCTCATCACAGAGCTTGCTGCCCCAGTCCTTCTTCAGGGTCTGTCAGGTGAGCTCATTGATATATTTATCAAGAGTGAGCTAGTCAATCCTAGCTTGGTCTAAGTAGTACCAAGCAACTAGGTGAGGTTCCTGTGTGGTTTCAGTGATGTAGCTGATGACATCAGTATCCTTCTTCTTGGTGTGCTTCATGTATTGTTTGCATGTGAGGGACCAGTTTTGGAGGATCAGTGGTGTCATATGGCTGGAGGTAAGAATGGGGCAGTCCTTCATTTTCCTGGTGTGAACTTCCGGTTGGATATTATAGCTCAGGTACTATCTACATCATTTATACACATTATTCTAGACTTCTAGTATCCTTTATGGAGTCATAGATTAGCTGTGTGTACTCTATGGACCCACTGATCTCATCATGTACATACTTTCCCAGGCCCTGTGACTTAAGTGTGTACCATCACCTCATATCTGTGTCTGTATCTCTGTCTGAGTGCTCATCAGAGTTTAAAAGCCCCTTCTATATCTCTTTCAACTCTTCCACCAGGGGTCATGCATTGGGTTGTGCCATATCAGGGATGATGTGTTCAGATCTAAGATTGAGAATGAGACAGGGAATCAGGGCTGGCTGTGGTTGTGGAGGATATGTGGGTGTGATGATATCAGCAGAGTAATTGTTGTTGTTGTTGTTGTTGTTGATGAAGCTAGCAGACAGGGGCAATAGTGGTGTAGGTGATGATGTGACAGTAGGTGAATTAAAAGTTGCAGGGGCTATAGCAACTTGCCTACTGGCTTCTCTGCAGGTCACCAACAGTGTAGGTGTGAATGGTGTTTGCCTCAGCAACTTAACAGCTGTGTTGTCAGTGAAGATTGTCAGTGTCAAAATAAAAATAAAAATAAAAGGCTGTTGGAGTTAGCCTCACTAATCAGTTGATACAGATAGGACAATATTAACTTCATTGTGTGAGAAAGGAAGTGAAGAGCAATGGAGGTTAAATTTGGCTTTTTAAGGCTCTGTGTGTATGTAGTCAATCTTATGTACTCCTTATTAATAACATGAATTTAATTATAATATTATGTAAGCCAGCTAGAGGGGAAGGGGTCTCCAATCTACCTTATCTCCAAAATGGTAGTCAGTGTCTTCCATTTTAAGATTACTGCCCTCTTGTCTCTGAGCCACCATGGGATACTTAAGATAGAGAACTAATAGCTATTTTCAATGCCAAGTTGTCACACCCTGATCTGTAAATTGTTTTATTTTATTATTTTATTCATTTTCTTCGGACTCTGTTTTCTGTCATGTTCATTATTCATCCTTGATTCTATTCATTCATGCATCATTCTAATTTCCTTATTGGTTCACTTATTTCTTCCACCCTTTCAGACTCTGTCTGCCTTCATTGACTTACTCATTCACTCCTTATCATTTGGACTCCATCTTCTTATCTTGCTTACTCATTCTTACCAATGCCAAGTATTGCTTCATCATTCTTATTTCTACATGATTATGTCTACATGTGCTTTTTACATTATTTGCTCATGGGCCTCTGGTTGATGCCATCATCAACCAATTACATTCATTTATTACTATTCCTTGTCTGTTCATATCTCTGTATCCCTGACTATTACTTCTTATATTTTTATGGCCTCCATTTTAGTATAAATAGTTGTAATTGTATATTGGTTTGGTAGTCAGAAATCATCTTTGTTATTCTTTTAACTCAATCCACTCTCCATTTCTTGTCTGTTTTCCTCTGTTACACACAGATCTCGAGTCTCCTGCTTCAAATTGTCTGTGACAATTCATTGGACTCCAAACCTCTATCCATCTCAATTTCATTCTAAAATAAGGACACTTCCATATGACTAAGGGTGCAACACATAAGTTGAAGCCAAGTCCCTTCAATTATATTATTTTGGACTCTGTTTATACTCACTTGTTCTGTTATATCCAGAGTCTGGGTGACCCCTAGATACTAGGACATAACACAAGTCCAGTCAATTTATATAGAAAGCACTGATAAATTAAAATTATTTGGAGATATCTTGTTGAATGCTTTGAGAAAAGGCAGCTTTAACATTAATGTCCTCTTCTATCAGTGTGAGCATCATTATTGGTTCACCCTCACAACTCAACTCATATATAATGCAGACACAGGTCTGATAACCGATTGATAAAAATACAGGAGGGCTATTACAACATTTCATGACTACAATAAAATTGTGAAGACATTATCATCCTTCCAGCACTCTGTCCAGGAGGGACCATGAACAAATTCACTAAGATCAAGCTTTACCACATCCAGTCCTATTACAGTAAGGTAACTTAGCAGCCACAACCTATCACAATATGGGGGTGGAATCCAGAGTATTAGCTCCTTTTTTGGGCCAAGAATCCAGCCTGTATTCCTCTCAAAAGAAATATCATCCTTGGAAGTAAGGAGCCTGAAAGAGATAGCAGATTGAGATCATGATCTTTGTTGGAGGAGAAGGATATTAAAGATCTGTGGTGACTAAGAGACTTTGATTGGTGGATTATTTTATCAGACAGTGTATTTAGATTTAGACTATGAAGTGGACATTCTTGAGCTATGATTCCAATAGGGATGACTGAGTCAGTGTGACCTTGTAGTGA